ATTTCTTTCTGCTCTACTGGTCAATCCCCCATCCTTGTGTGAACCCCTCCGTGTATTTACTATAGCCCTGCCAGGCTTGAGGTAAATCTTTTTTTTTTTTCCTTCTCCTTTCTCACCTCTTTTCTCTTCTTGAGCATCTTAACTCTGGCCTTTGTTCTAGTAAAATTTAGGAACCAGATTGTCCAATTCCTAAAAAAACCCTGGGGTGATTTGGATTGGAATTGCATTGAATCTACTTGCCAGTATGAAGAGAACCAACATTTTTACAATATTGACTCTTCCTATCAATGAACATGATCGTCTGTCACTGTATTTGTCTTTTTCAATGTCTATGTTAAAGCTTTAAAATATTCCCATGGATGATTTCAAGCCTCTTTTTTTGTCACATTTTTCCCAATAGGTACCTTATGTTTTTGCTAGCATAAAATGGGAAATTTTCAGATACTGGGTGATATATTTCAATGGTTCTGAAATTTTTAAAACTACAAAAAGAAATAAGCTAGAAAGTCACTTTTGCCCAGTTCTTATTCACATTTCCCAGCCCCTTACAGTAACTTTTAATCATTTCTTTTTTACCTTTCTAAAGTGTTTTTTTTTCTTTGTGGTTACCCTTGAAATGTCTCTATAAATATTTAATAACTAAAAGACTTAATCTTTCAAATCCCCAGCCAAACAAAAATGGACATTTAAACCACAAGCTCTGGTCAGGCGTAATTTGGCACAGATGTCCGCCGGCGCACTGGCCCATTTTGAACCATTCCTTCATGACTTTTTCTTCTTACGGTTCCTCCTTGAGAAGTTCCCTTAGGGAAGGAGTACTGGTGAAATCTGCTTTTGTTTATTCCCCAAGCCATCATTGCACACACATTCCTCAAGGAAGTCTTGCCGAGCACAGAATTATAGTTATTTTCCCTTCACACCCTGAAGCACTTGGCATTATTTTCACAAAGACGAACTACTGGAGAGAGACGGACTTTCTCAGTTCTAGTTCCAAAATTTCCCAGGAGGGATCCTGATGGCCCCGTTTGGGTTAGTGGAGCATAAAACGACGGCTCGCTTGGCACCCAGGTGGGAGGACACGGTTGTGGGGCGGTGGTGACAAGGGGCCCAGCAGTAGGGAGTAAAAAACCTCAGTCTCTAAAACTGTGGCTGAAATTTCCCAACACATTCCCATACCATTGGCGGGGTCGGGGGGCGGGGGGGGGATTCTTGTCACACACTTTAGCGTTCTTTAGGTACCGAGGGATGCCTGTGTGCTCGCAATGACGGGAGCCCGTGAATCGTCCTGACTGTGGGATAAAGAGCCCTGCCCTCCCCACCCTGCTGCCCCAGCTCAACCCTCAGCACAAATCCCGTGGAACCGGACCCCTGCCCCCTTATGCCAAAGTGCCTGGCGCATGTGGAGTAAACCCTCTCTTCCCAAGGCCTGTTCAAGCACCTCCATTAGGGGCGCCCTCCCCGACTTGTTCTCACCTTCCCCCTTCATTTCCTGACACGTTCATCAAACTTCAGGCTCCAGTTTGAATGTCATCTCTCTGGAAACGCCTCCTGGACCAAACTGCCTGCAGCAGCCCCTTGTGACTCTGCCCCAGCCCACACGGCACACAGCCCTCAGGGTGCCAAAGGGCTGCTCAATCTACTTGCATTTTGACTAAAAGCTGCTTAAAGACCGTTTTAATAAATTTGATTTTAAACTCACAGCATTTTTATGATTTCCTTTTCAGCCTCTTCCCATGATATGGACTACATATCGTATGCTGCACATAAAACAGAGGTGCTCCCAATTTTTGGAATAACTTCCTTGACTTCTAACTTATTAAGGGAAAACAGAAAACCTATGGATGAGGGAGACACGTCTTAATGGCTTTTTGATGAAATCAAAGCAAGTCTTGCCTTCTTAATTCTTTACACTAATATGCAAACTTTTAAATGTGACTGAAGATATAATTATGAAATCTAGACAATACTCACATGTTTTTGAAGAGTAAGGTGAGGGAGTAATCGTGGAGAATTTCTGCCCTCTGGGAACTGAACGTGCCCCCGAGGCCCATGCAAGGTGGGCAGTGAGGCCTCCTGGTCCAAGGCAGGGCTTGGGCAGGCAAGAAACGCCAGGCAGAGCCCTGCCACCTGCCGGGGCTCCCAAGACTGGTACGGCTCCATCCACATGGGTGAGAACAGAATGGTGAACAGGCGGCTGCAGCCAATCCTAATTTGCATTCTCCCATGGAAAACAGGCCTATGTTCTCTTACCGCAATTTTTTTTCAACTTTCAAACAAGCTTAACTGTAGTAAGAACAGGACAAGCGTCTTATGAAACTCTGAGGAACTTTGGCAAATGCCTGTATTTTGTCAAATTGTTAACTCCCTTCAGAAATTTTGGGGTGGTGATGCAGGAATGGAGAAGTGTAATGTGGATCATTAAATTATAGCATAACAGATAGAAAATATAACACAACTGAGTTTTTAAGTCTAAAATTAAAAATTGTTAAGTGGGCAATACTATAATTAATTTGTTTACCTTCTATATCATTGTGATGTTCAATAGCCATTAACAATGCTTTACCAAAGCAAAAACATGAAAAAAAGGCAAAATAATAAAAAAAAGAGACTCCTAATAACAACACTTTTACAACAGTAGTTACAGAACATGGATTTTTAATGAATTTCATCCTGCATTGAAGACACTGAACACTTAAGAACAATTACATCAACACAATGAAAACAACTGCTTCTACACAACACTGATAAATGCACACCTTCTCTCCAAAAGAAACTTTTCACAGATTTAAGCAACAGATGACTTACACAGGATTCTTCAGATTCCAAAACAGGTACAGATTTTGGCTCTGCATAAGCTGATGTGCAGTGGTTGAGAAAGGGCGCCCCTTCATCCAACAACATACCTCTCGTGAAATTCTCCATCAACACACAGTTTTCAGTAACCACCCATCTCTTTGTTATTAAATGAAATTCTGGACTTGTCGGCACATGGACAAAACCAATTCCACTTCCAAACACTATTTCAGATATGATCAAGGCAGCTGGTCACACAACTTCATTTCAGGCACACACACGCACAAACCTGCGGACACTCACACGTGCACACACACTCACTACCCCCATCTCCTTCACGATGCCTGAAGACATCCCTCTCAGCCATGGCGGCGGGTCCTGCTCCTGAGAAGGGCCGAGCCCTGGGCAGGAACGGGGAGGGGGCAAGGGAGACACGGCTGCGAGCGGAGCCTCGTCTGCACAGGCCACGTGGCTGCATACACATGTGTTTACACGCTTCCAATTTTTTAATCCAGCAGAGATCTGGTTCTTTAATCTGGCTTAGCGACCTGCAGACATTTCCCAACGTTTCCAAAAGTAATTCTAAGACACTCAGACGTGAGACTGAAGCAGAAGAGGAGCCGGCATGTGCGGACAGCCCTGCTGTGGAGACCCCAGAAGGGCAGGAGGCAGCCTGCACCGTCCTGACCCTGGCATCGGGGAATGTCAGACTCTAACAACCAGCTCTTGAGCTGCTGTTGTTATAAAGCTGCCCTAAAACTCTTGCTGTCTGTCCCTCGCTCTGGTTCTCCCCAGCCCCACCCTCCTGCCCAGCCAGGAGTCATCTCAGAACCAGACCCGACGACCCAGGGCAAGAGGCCTGAGATGGTCTACCGCAGGCCCTGAGGCAAAGGGAGCCATGGGCGAGGCGCCATCTCTAGGGACGCTCTGCCCGCGACACCACAAAACGGAAGCGGTGACCGGGACTGGGCCATCACGATCGTTTCCAATGTCATCCTCCAGTGCCTGTCCCAGCGCTGGCCTCCAAGGGTTACATATGTGAGGGGGGCACTGAGATGTCTCGTTATCAGACTGTAACTCAACAAGAAACATGGCTCACGAACACCAGGTAGAAAGTCTCAAAAAGGCGAGACTGACAGACTCCCTGGCAGAGGGGGCACCGAGAGCCACCCGCCACCTGGGAGCTGGCAGCTAGTGAGGAAGGAGCCTTTCCTCTTCAGGTACGTGGGCTGCGCTGGCCTCTCCTGCCTTCTGAACGAACTCATGTTCCAGCTCTAGATCAAAAAGTGCATGAACCAGGTAACAGTGACACCCCAAGTTTTCCAAATACTTTGCTTTTGAGGTAGTACTCATTTATTTGCATTATTGGCTCTCAAATACCACCCAGAAAGTGAACCCACTTGGAAACATGCAAACCCAAGGTGTAGAAAATAAATAAGGTTTGTTTTCAGGCAGCAGGGCCTTCTAGAAAGGTCAAGTCACATTCAATGGGTAAGTCATTTGAAACTTCTAAAAACTGTTTATAACCATAGCTATAAACTAAAGTGCTTTAAATTTTGTTTAATACCTGGACTCAGTGATTAGAATCATTATATTTTAGAATTTGCTAGCATGAGACTTCAGGAGATTGAAATGATTTTCTATAAAAAGAGCAGAAACTCTTTCTTCTCAAAATAAACTATCCAAATGTTGCAAATTCAACATTCTATGCTTTTTTTTTTTTTTTTAACTTCTAAAATCCAAGTTGATTTTACAGAACTGTAACAGAACACAGACATGAAGCTGAGTTAACACACACTGGAACCCCATGCAGACCTGAGCATGAGGTCCCTGCTCGCTCCGGCCAGGACAAGGCAGAAGCAGATCATCGTTCCAGAAACGTGGAGACCACTGACACCTCCCAGTGAGAACAGGGTTCATGTTTCACTTGCGCAGACGCCACGCCCTCCTGTCACCCCAACACACCCGGGGACTCAATACCAACAGCCGCGGGAGGGGGCTCCACCTCTACGGCCCGTGATGCCAACACACACAACACAGAAATAAACAACAGGGGCACACTCTGGACGCTTCATGCAGGCTGGGTACAGCTTGGAGAGAGCACACATCTCCCGCTCAGCATCCACCACCCACAGCAATGGCTCCCCAGCGCCAGGCGAGCCGGCAGTCGCAGTCCCTGGCTGCCGAGGAGCCTCAGAGCGGTGCCCTCACTTCTCCTGCAGCAGTGCCGGGATGTTGATGTTCCAGCCGATGGCCTGCCGGTCAAAGCCGCAGGTGAACAGGTTGCACACGGGATGGTCCTCACTCCAGGCCGAGCCGCACACCATCCTCCTGTGGCCCTGCGACCAAGCACACAGCACAGTCAGAGCAGGGCTCCCCAAGCAGGACCAGATGAACCACACACGACCAAACGACCCAACGGAAATGAGAGCCGTGAACACAATTAGTTCAAGTGACACCTCCTGTGTTGCTGGTGGAGAAGCCTCCACGAAATGAGGGGTCGGAACACGGATGAACTCATTGAGGCTCACCAGCGCCTCAGGATTCTTTCTTCAAGAAAAGGAGTCAGGGCTTCCCTGGTGGCACAGTGGATAAGAATCTGCCTGCCAATGCAGGGGACACGGGTTCAAGCCCTGGTCCGGGAAGACATGCCGTGGAGCAACTAAGCCCTGCGCCACAACCACTGAGCCTGCACTCTGGAGCCCACGATCCACAACTCCTGAGCCCACATGCCACAACTACCACGCACCTAGAGCCTGAGTTCCGCGACAAGAGAAGCCACTGCAATGAGAAGCCCATGCACCGCAACGAAGAGTGGCCCTCACTCGCCGCAACTAGAGAAGGCCACGTGCAGCAACAAAGACCCAATGCAGCCAAAAATAAATAGATAAATAAATAAATTTATTTTTTAAAAAAGGCAGCCAGATCACAGTCAACAGGAAGAATACATAAATGGTCACTTTGGAAATTTTTAATGAATAAATGAGGCTGGGTGACATGGGAAACAGTAAATAAAATTCACTCAAAGACCCCAAATACCACTTTAACAAATAATCGGCTCAGGTAATAAAGGAGCTAGAAATATACCTTTGGTGCCAAATAAAGCAAGGATAAAATAGATGGCCTTTCAAGTAGATTCCCACCACCTTCGGGGATTCAGTTAAATATCAGAATGTTGGAAAAAATATTGCAGATTACTTGGAAAGTTTATAGCAGACACATACACTAACATGTCACTATAGTATCATACAACAGGTACAAGAGGTAGGATTCAGAAAAGCTGACAGAAATTCTATAAGTAAAAGAAACTCTCGGGACTTCCCTGATGGCACAGTGGTTAAGAATCTGCCTGCCAATCCAGGGGACACGGGTTCGAGCCCTGGTCTGGGAAGATTCTACATGCCATGGAGCAACTAAGCCCATAAGCCACAACTACTGAGCCTGTGCTCTACAGCCCACAAGCCACAACTACTGAGCCCCCATGCTGCAACTACTGAAGGCCGTGCTCCACAACAAGAGAAACCACTGCAACGAGAAGCCCGTGCACCGCAACGAAGAGTAGCCCTCGCTCGCCACAACTAGAGAAAGCCCGTGCGAAGCAACGAAGACCCAACGCAGCCAAAAACAAAAGAGAAAGCAAAATAAATAAATAAATCTATTTCACCTACCACTTTAGGAGGAAATTAATTCAAGCACAAGAGAATTCTACAATTCCTGCAAGGCTGAATGTTTACAGACAATTAAAAATGAAACTGTCTCCATGGAATCAGTACCATGAAGAACTGCTTGGAACTCCCTCTTTCTTGAGGGAGAAGATTCTCAAAGCCATGAAGGGACCTGGGCTCCTGGGTCAGAACGCAGACCTCACATGCTGTACAGCTGTTCTATTTAACACTCAGGCCCACCTAATAGAGAGAATCCTATCCAGTTAAGGTGCAGCTTAGGTGCTGCGTCGGTGATACCAAGCAGTTCGCAAACGTGAAGTTGCCTGGACAAGCAATTCATGGCTTTGTTGGGGTGGTGAAGCTTTCCTGAGTTATTCTAATTTCGTGAGTAGTTTATCTATGAAGTGCACGCAAAGAAAACAAAGCTCCACAACTAACTTGGGACGGTACACGTAAGAGCTACAAAAGGGAAGACACGGCTTTGTCTGAAGGACAGAGGACCTCTGGGAAGCTGGTGCCACTTAGAGCAGAGATGTCTTCCCTGTCTACCAATCTACCTGCCAGCCTGCCTCCAAAACCACCCTGGGCCCACAACTCAGCAACCGCTGCAAGGTTTTTCCCAGGACAAGGCAGAGGAGCAGCGGAGGAGACTGGGGGTGCAGACACACTCACTGACTGCAGAGTCAGGCACAGACCCTGCTGGAAACAACAAGGGACTGGCTGACCCACCACACAGCTTCCACTGTGAATGTAGAAAAGGCCGAAGGAAGCCAGGGAGAGAGTGGTGTGTGGGCTCCATGGAGCAGAGCCTGTAGGTGCTGCCCGAAAGCAGGGGCTTCGTCCACTATAGCTCCACCTGCTGTCCCCTGGCACTGAGACTGGGCCCTGAACATGGACTTGCCCAGGTTCCCAGATGCCCCCCCACCCATATGCTGACTCAGCAGGTCTGAGCTGGTGCTGTGGAGCCCCAGGCTCCCCAGCGAGTCCGGCTCCTGCCCTGCACCGTCCGAGATGAACCAGGAGCAACCCCTGCCTCACGAGAAAGTGCATCTAAATGGAGATACGACTGCCACGGAAAGGCGCCCCCAGGACCCATGACTACCACCCCCACAGGACAACGGCACACGCCTGCCCAGCGGTGAGTTCAGCTGCTGTGCCCAGGGAGTTCTGAAACGCAGCGGGGAAAAAGCCTGATTATCTCAGTTTAAACTTAAAAGCTGCTGCTCAGCTCAGGTATCAGGCAACGTTTCTAGCTTTCAATTTTATGCATTCCAAATACACACTAAGTACTTCCAATGGAAACCCAGCAACCAAAGACTTAGTAAGAAAATGGGTGTAAAAATCGTGAATATTTTTCTATTGACTATCTGTTGAAATTATGTTATTTCGGATGCATTTGGTTAAATAAAATACACTGTTAGAATTAATTTCTCTCTTTTTGTGAAGGGCTATTGGAGCACTGGACATACCCAGACTGGCTGGGAGTTCCCATCCATCAGTGATGCTGGGCCCGGGACCCCAGGCTCCCTGTGAACAGACTCAGCCCCAGCACGTACCTGCCGACTGCTGCGTGGGAGCCTCGCCAGCCGCACACCCGACATGTCAAACAGCCTCACCTGGCGGTTGTCGTGGGGGAGAGCAATGATTTTTTGGCCAACGCACACATTGATCCTTCAAAGAGATAAAATCAGCTTACATACAAAACAATGACAGCACAAGTTTCTGAGTTTATAGATGATGATGCAGTAAGGGATTTCATACTATTCACACTTCAAGGGAAATCACACCAGCAAACCACAGGTATTATCTGCCTAGGGCATCAGGAAACAGGCCAAGTTACTTACATGTAACTTACACGTATGTACTACTCAGTAACCTCTGGCCATAACTGGCTCATTCTTATTCTTACAAAGCTCAATACACCAACATGATTTTACACCTAAGTTTCAGTATTTATAGAATACTGGATATGCATTAGAGAATCAATAAAAAATAGTTTCCCGGGAGTCTAAACCACTTTTCCCAGGGCTCTACCAAGTAAACATAAATTTACACGAAGCAGACACAAGCCACAAGGCCCCCTTCAAGCCACAGTAAGGGTTCACGTGAGGAGCACCACTGTCACCTGTTGATGGCAGAGTCCGTGCGGATGGTTGCGATGGGGGACCTCATGTTCTTCAAGTCCCAGACCTTCACGGTGCGGTCGTCGCTGCCGGAGACCACATTATCTCCTACGGTGAACACGGCAGAGGTCACGGTGCTGCAAGTAAAGGACACAGGGTCAGAACCTCGTCAGGAAGTTCCCGTCCACACTGCGTAACAGACACATGCTCTTGCTGCCAGAGGCCCTGGCAGGTGGGTGGAGATGTGGATGCCGCGAGTCGTGTACCCCGCTCACTGGCCCTCCCGCCTAAACCTCCACTGGGCATGCAACTGAGCACAGCTGACCTCTCCTACTCAACCTCAACTTCTCCAGGCAACGGAGCAAGGAAAGGCTCCCGGAAGAGATGGACTAGATTAGACAGAACCTGCCAAAATCTCTATACAGCAGACGATTAAAAAAAAAATCCATCCCAACTGCAACTTTCAATCAATTTAATCAGAACACGGGAAAAAATTTCATTCCAACAAGAACAAAAACCAGTTTTAAAAAAGATAAGAACAGACTCTTCTCCAAGGAAGGTTTACAAATGGCCAATAGGCCCATGAAAATTTGCTCAACATCATTAATCATCAGGGAAATGCAAATCAAACCACAATGAGCTATCACCTCACACCTGCTAGAATGGCTGTCATCAAAAAGACAAGAGATAAGTGTTGGGGAGGATGTGGAGAAAAGGGAACTCTTGCGCACTGTTGGCGGGAATGTAATTGGTAAAGCCACTAGGGAAAACAGTGCGGAAGTTCCTCAAACAATTAAAGACAGAACTACCATGTGATCCAGCAATTTCACTCCTGGGTATTTATCTGAAAAAAACAGAAACACTAATTCAAAAAGACACATGCACCCCAATGTTCATAGCAGCATAATTTACAATAGCCAGGACATGGAAGCAACCTAAGTGTCCATCGACAGATGAATGGATAAAGAGGATGTGGTATATATATA